AGGGACGGCCAAGATTGGCCTGGTGCAAACGTATGGAAGGAGTCTGTTCCAGACTGCATTTGTCTTTTGCCGAAGCTCAGACTCTGGCACAGGATCGGGAACGTTAAAGCTGTGTCTGATGCGTCTACCTCCGCGACCCGATATGAGAAGCGGCGATGGAAGGTGATGAAGATATAACATATTTATTGAAATGCATTGCCTATGCAGTTTAATGTTAAACCAGTCCCTCTTTCGAAATGAAGCTTCCTCAAAAGACAAAGTGCACCTCTTTTGATTGTCTTTCCTTGTTGGTGCTGTGATTATACCTGTCCATTATACCAATTCGCAACGTACTTGACAAAATATCTGTTTTCAGCAGTTTTACGCGCTAAACTGCCAACGGAAATGATGCCACAGGTACTGGTTCGATTTTACTGACTTATGCAAGTAAATATTATTAGCTATTCGTTATTATCTAACAAGTGTATCGTTCTTTAATCATTTTACAAGAATTGATAGGCCATACTTGTACCTACTGATCATATTTTATTTGGTAAAATTTCATTTCCATATGCACTGCGAAACTGTACTCTAAGCAAAAATGGAGTAATATTAGATTGCTCATAGTGCAGACCGTTTAGTATTCATATATATGGCGAGTTTAGTATTATATACCCTGTTGTATTACACGGTTATCTTTGTCAGCTTCTTGAAGTTCTAGCAATCGTGTTCCTGAAGCGAGAATTGTTGAAATTGCTAGTGATTGACAGTAATAAACGGTACCGAGCAGTAATGCCGATAATGATAGCTAATTGTATTCGTCTTACTTTTGTTTCTGTTCATTTGCATGTTTTGTTCGAGTTTAAAAAATGGAATTTAATCTGATCCGCATAACGCGCAATGCAACTGTAATATCAAATAACAGCTTGAAGACTATCTATTCAATACAGCAGCTATGTTCGATTTTAAGCAAAACTAAAAATTTTTGCATGGTGTTATTGTGGCATGCTTTGGCCAAGTTAGCTCATATTTTGTTTTTCTGAAAAAATGTACTTCAGCGTAGGCAAAGTACTGCTCATGTTTCAGTTCGCCGTTACTCGTCACAAGTTCCCAGTCTACTTCCACGGGTCTTGTTTCACTGACGGTAAACAAAATTTTAACAAGGACCATGTTTAATGTATGCGTAACGATAGAATCAGTCAGGTAGTTGGAAGATGGATTTGAATCCTTGAGGTTGTGAGAGGTAACTAGGGGGCATAACTGTCTCTTTGATTAGCGAAGAAAACAGCAGGGATGCTTGTAATCGTTGAAATATGAGTTTATGTTAGTTTATATATTGGGTATCCTTATTTTTTGTTTGCTTGTTTTATTGTGTGGTGCTGATCTCAGTTTCTATTACATCAATCGGTGGTGTTCTTGTAGGCAGTTGCTGAATATTGCCATGATAGTGTGTAATTTCCTGTTTCAGTTTCTTCTTGTTGTATTCGATTTTGTGTCTCGAAAGACAAGATGAAAGACGAGTATCTTTTTCTAAGATTCGACCCACCTTGTTTCGGTATTCTGACTCAGAGCTACTATATCAGTTTGGCGGTGATCATCCCGAGTTGATTTAGTCTTATATGAGTTATAAATTTTCTTATTATTACAAGAGCTGTAAGAGCGAACAGATATGCATGTATGCATCAAGAACGCATGCTTTATTCCTGTATTGACATTCATGTAGAAAACATGACAGAAAATAGCTTTATTGAAACATTCGGTATTGCTTGTTGGCACGTATTGCGTTGCATTTTAGTAAACTGTTACATTTTTGCTTTTCATGGATATGGATAAGAATCAGTTTTCGCGAAAGGCTGCAGATTCTTTTCCGTTTGAACGAGGGCTTGAATTTTTGTTTCGCATTTCCGAACAGGTTTTACTCTACTTTACCACTGAAACTCATCACGGGGCCAATGACAGTAGACAACTGGTTTCAAACGATGGATGATCCTAAAGCAGTCAAGCTTTCTTTCTCGCGAGTTTTCAAAACCTTTGCGTGAGTTTCCTTTATCAGCATGATAAAAGCAGATTCTCATACTATTAAACATGCAGTGTTCTTGGTTACGAAGGCTGTGATAAGTTAGACAGTTTCGATGACCGCTTATCCGGTCGCATGCATTACGCAGCCAGATGCGTTAGACATTGTCTCCATCGTATGCCAGCATTTGAACGCTTCGGTAGAAGATAATCCCGAGTCCTGGAGCATGGTCTTTCTATATATTTGCCTCATGTTATTTTTTTCCGTCCCCCCTCCCCCCGTGTCTTCGATTGTAGCTATTCTACCGTCCATTCTGGAAGCATTCGCATGACGTTCCCCACTGTCGCAACTGTGAGTTCTCAATCTGGAGGAGAAGGGGCTCTACACCAAGGCTTTATTTCGGATATCTGAACTCCGGAGCATGTCGAAATGCATGACGCCAGCGATTTGCCTCAAAAGCCTATTTCTGCCGCTTGTACCTTAGGTGGAAGCATGGGGATGAAGGTCGACTTGATCACCGAGAACCTAGTCTTCAGACTCAGCTCTGCTTTAGTCACAACGGTTCGAGCAAGTTCACACAGAATGCTACCGGTTATTCCCATTCTTCCTTCGAATCTTTTTCTTTTCTTTCTCATCTCCTTCATAATTAGTAAGCATGATTTTCAAGTACATTGACTTCTCTTACTGCACTTTCGTTTACTTGCACATTTTATCAACCGTTTGAAGTTAAGTCTGTCTTAAACTGTTCAGTTTTATGCGGCGCTAATTCGAAAACTATTATTCTTCTTGAAAAATTTTGCATTATCACGTGAGAAAAATAAGATGAAGCCCATCTGACATTATATATGTACCAGACAACTTTAATTTTCGTTGTTTTTTATTGCATTATTTTCCCCATGTACTTTCTGCATATTTAAACCTCTCAAATTGTTGATTTCAACGAACAAAATAAACAGCAGTTCTTTTGTGACTTAAGTTGTTTGACCGATGAATCACAGTGATATATGATAATTGAAATTAATCAGTTTTTTGGCACTCATTGCAGCCATTATTACGTTAAAGCTCTGATTAAGGCTTGTGCAACGGCGGAGAATATGTCTTGTTGTGCCTGTAGTGACGGCTGCCCTTGTTTGCGGAGCGACCCTACCAAAAATGTGGAGGTGATCTTAGGCGCTCAGTGGGGCGACGAAGGCAAAGGCAAAATCGTTGATACCCTGGCTAAGGACGTGGACATTGTTGCCAGATGCCAGGTTTTGTTCCATTTCTCTGTTTTGCAAATTTTGAAAACGATCCTACTTTTAGGGCGGAAATAACGCTGGTCACACCGTGGTAAGCGCCGGCGTGA